ACTCGGCTTCGGCTGTTACTATAGGGGGATTGTAATATTGAAATTAACTTTTCGATCACACCCTTCAGAGAAAGGCAGCGCGACAGTTTAGAGCGGTCGACTGAGTCGAAAGCCGCTTTCAGGTCGAGGAAGATGGAATTGGTGGGTCTACAAAATGAGCTTCTGTGTTCTAGGATTTAACGAAGTGTAAAGATGTGGTCGATACAAACTCGACCAGTTATAAAACCAGCCTGGTTCTCACGAGTGCACCGTTCAGGCGCGGCAGACAATCGACGGAGTATGATGCCAGCGAGAATTTTAGAGACGATGTTGATTAAACTAATTCTCCTGTGGTTTTCGCAAGGGGATCTGTCACCTTTCTTGTAAATTGGTATGATCACCGATTCACACTGTTCAGTTGGAACCTATTCCCGCTCCCACACTTAGCCCAGGAGTTTTGTTATCTCCGAAGCCAAGGCTGAGCCTCCGTCGTAAAAGTCGATGGGGACAGCACATCTGGGCCAGAGGCCTTATGCGTTTGAGGCAGCTTATTTCCCGGGACTCCTCCCTAATAGAATGAATAGGATTGGGGTGGTTTCCCCACATGAAGTCCACGAGTAGAAAGTCAGTTGCAAGGTCGTAAAAGAAAGCTTCATCGATGATAAACATGCGAATGAAGTGAATTCAATAGGTTAGAATACTTCTAGGAGCATTCTTTGGCTACAAAGCCAACCGAATGCATTGGATTTTCGGTGCTCACAATTTATGGATCGATCACTTACGTTTGCTTGAATATAATCATCGAGATTTACTCATGGTTCATTGGTCTTGTTGGGTTCAATACATTCTTTGCTCATAGTCCTCTGTGTTTGAAATGCTTTAATATGCGTTAGAAACAAACATGTTTATAGACGCTGGAAATCGGATATCTTGGACTTGAGAGATCCGATTGAGTGATACTGCAATACAAAGAAAGATAAAACAACATGTCACAGTAGTGGGTTACAAGAAGCCTATTTCATTCATTGTTCAGCGTATCTCAGTTAGAAGTCTAATAGAATTTCTTCGCCCACCGGTTATCTTTGAATTATGCTTCTTCCGCACTTAATGCAAGGCGCTGATAACTAACCACCAGATTATTCTCATTCATTATTTATCCGTTTTTAGGTCATGGAAGAAACTGGTTTAGACGTAGAATATCGAATTGATCCTTCGCTTTATATTGATCGAAGTATCGGTGGCACACTGCGTCGAGCTTTTATCATCGAAAACATGCCTCGCATCTCCCGCCTGCAGCCCGCCACAAAGAATGAAATTGAGGCTATCACGTGGTTCAATTTGAATGACCTCCCCACTCATGTGCACGACAAAACCCCGATTGAGAAATTAAACACACGACCAAATTGTTTCTTTCTTGTCGTTCCATTCATCAGGTAAGTTGTTCATTATTTTCATCTAAAGTAGTAAGTAACCAAACATGATCACTGACTGCAAAAGCCTCTCCTGAATAACAAACCAGCGGTCTTTGATCACATCTGGTATATTATACGCTCCAGAGAGGCATAGATACTGTTAGACATTTTCTTATGCAAGGGATACCAGATTCGCAGCTGTCAGAGACCACCTATGACCGGTGTCATTCGTTGGATCTCACATTTAGAGTTCGTTAATTTTCTTCATGTCCATGCTTCTCAAAGACAATAATTTTCTAATTCGCATAAACTATGCAAGAGAATATCTAATCTAATAAAGTCGCTCACTCAAGTCGTCGATCATCAACCGTGTAGGTCAGGATTAGAGGTTTTGACTTTGAACTCGAAGCCTGGCGGTTCAAGTACTGGTCGAGCTAACAACAGTTCGCATTGCTGACGGTTCCCAGGAAACACGAAATATCTGACCAGTGCTATTTGTTG